GGGTGCACACAATCATGACTAAAAACATAGCAGAAGAGCAATGGATACACAACAAAAGGACGAAACTTTCATTAATTTTGGATAATTAAGCAGGTAGCAGTTCCATTGTTTCCAAACACATCCACAAAATAAAAACAACAAGAACAAAAGTACCAGTCATAAACATCATCAGAACTAAAACAGAGGACATACACAAAGAACTTGACACTTGGAATGGGAACACTATTTAGGGGGCACTGGAAGGGGAAGGCCCAGATGAAAAGGCAAGGGTTCTAAGAAGGATGTCCATTCGAGCATTAGCTGAGACCGGCTCATTGAGAAGTCTCTCTTTCAGGTCCTCAACCTGTTTCCTGAGGTCGGGATTTTTTTTTATAAGACGGGAAACCTCTGTGCTTTGAGAGCTGCTGGAACCAGGTGCCTACTAAACCTGATTGAGCTAACCTTCGAGAATGGCATTCCTTGCCTTTGGCTTCCTTATCTCTTCAGTGATACTGTTCTGTGCATTGATCAGCTGAGAGATCGTAGAAGTGCTGCCAGCCCCTCCTCTCTTATTAATACATTCACATTCCTCGAGGGTGGTCTTGGAGAAGGTTTGCTTACGAATACCCACTTTAACTTTTCCCAAAGGGACTTTGAAGAATTCAAAGACCTTAGTGAGGAGGAAGCCGTAAGGCAGGCCATGATTACCATCTTTGAATGTTGTCACCTTCTACATATGCTCTATCATGATGCCAGGCAGATTATAGTAGTGTAGCCATCCAGTGCTTCCATGAGAACCAGGTCTACTCGTGAAGTTATTGACCTCCTTTCTGCGTGGGGAAGCAGAACTTTGTTTACCATTTCGTACAGTAGTTGGTACACTGGAAGGAGGGCCTTCTTGTGTACCCGTCCCCGGTGATGTATGGCCTTGTCCTTCACTATGGCATTTCTGAAGTTAGACGAGCAAGTTCCCTCAACAGAAGACATACCATCAGTAGACACCCCCAAATTACTTCACAGAACAGTAGTATCCATCACAAAATCAGCACCATTCACCATCATACAAATATGATCATCCTCAACTATAAAGAAGTCAGCATAAAAACTATGCACCTCTTCCTCATAAACTTTAGGATTGTCACTTGTGAACAAATGTGTCCATTGTTGGTGTTCACAGATCTCCACCAATTGGCGCATTCCGGTCATCTCCAGAATATCAGGGGCAAATGAACAACCCTACAACACCTTTTGGTGTTTTAATTTTTCTTTGCCAGCATCCTGGGCATCACCATCCTTGGTCCTTTTGGAGGAACCAGGTTCCGCACTGGCCTCAACCTTCTTCTTATCTGATTTGGTAGCAGTCTTTCCTTTGTCTGCAGATATCATGGAGATCTTCTCAGCAGACTCCTCAGCCACGGTTTTACAAGACTCCTCAACCACTTTCTCACTCTCTTTCTCACCAAAGTTTTCACCCTCAACCCTTCTCAACTCTTTTTCAAACATAGATGACTCCCTTTTGGACTTTGGAACAGTAAGGTTCTTTTGAGGACTTACGAACCAAGGAACCAGGTTCCTCTTCTACCTCATCATCAACATTCATGAATAGTGCATGAGGCACTACCTTTTCATTGACAACCTTTCCATCTTTTACCAATCGCCTCTTCTTCTTTTCCTTTTTTACTTTTCCTTAAAATGGACTCAAATTCTTCCTTCTTTTGTAGCCTCGTGATGGGTCTCTTAGACGTTGACCCCTGGGGAGGTGCTTTTTTACTCCTAGCACTAATAAAGCTTGCCAGAGCCACATTATCATAATCTTCTTCTTCACTATCCTCCTTCTCCTCCTCAGACAAGGAACGCATCTCAGGAACAACTATGGATAAAGGCTCAACATAGAAGTGAGGAGAGGGAGCAGGACCAATACTAACCCGGGGTGATTGAGAGAAACCAGGGGTTGGCTCCTCTTGGGTGGAGGGGTCAGGCCCCTCAGTTGGTGACCCAATAGTATTGTCCGGTGCTGATGTTTCAACAGGCACCAGTTCCGTACTCTCCACTAGTGTATTTTCTTTCCCCTCAGACTCAGACACACATTCACCACCTCCAATAACACTTCCCTCAGCAGCTATTGACAACATATTTTCTATGGCCTCTTGTTCTTGTAACCCCATGGTAAACTCAGAAGTAGGAAGAGTAATACCTGTAGAATCAAGGCCAGGGGTTGTCATTGTCGATTCAGCATGGATATGACCCACATCTTGTTCCTTGGCAAAGCTTTCTTCCACAGGTAGACTAGAAACTTCTGGATTTTCTTCTCTCTCTACTTTATCCTGTTCAACCATTTCTTCAAGCGAGGCAGAAGGAGAGTTTACGGCCATAAATTTTTTGGGATTCAAAGTTTTGTGACTCCGATGAGAACCAGTACTCGACTGGGTCGGAGAGGTAGGTGGTTGTGACTCTGATTTAGGGTTTGGACTGGTCGGAGTGGGAAGTGTTGGCTCTAACACTGGTGGTTCAACGGGTGAAGAAACAGTGGGGACGATGCTTGGAGCACTTTGGGCTTCATGATTTTCAGACATGATGGAGTTTAGTGAGTTGAAGAAGAAGGTGTTTTGTTTGAAGAAGGGAAAAGAGGAATTTTGGATTTTTTGATGTGGATAGTTGTGAAAGTGACCGAGAGGCGTTATTTAATATGGGTGAGGGACCAGTTAGGAATGGGTGGCAATCTGGGTAGTCGGGTCACTTCATAAAGGGGTAAGACACTTGGGTTCAAAAAGCGGGAAAGAAAAGAAACTGACAAATTGATGACATGGCACCGTTTCGCCGTTTAAAAATTGTGCATGAGAATACAGAGGAACTACTAACCTGTGTCGAGGGAACCAGGTTCCCTGGAAGATTTTGCAAATGTATGCCTCATTCTTTGACCAACGTGCAATGTATTAGCTGCTTTTTCGCTATGCAATCGTCATGCGTGTCACCTTGTAACGGTATAGAGATGAGTTAGACTTTGCCAGAAAATATTTTTTATCTATTTTACCTGTACATTTCTTTCGTAGCCAATCATCGAGGGAACAGGTCTTCAGCTTAATTTCATCAACCCAAGTGACAAGCGATTCCTTTCAAAATGCTCTCTGCTCAGTGCTTTGGTGAATATGTCTGCAATTTGATCTTATGTGCTGCAAAATTTCATACAGATAAGCCCTTTTTCAACATTGTCTCTGAGAAAGTAATGTCGCACATCAATGTGCTTTGTTCTCTTATGTTGAACTAGATTCTTGGCCATATTGAGAGCACTGGTATTGTCACATAGTAAGAGCACGCAATCAGAAAACACACCAAAATCTTCCAGATGTTGTTTAATCCATAACAGTTGAGCACAACAAGATACAACAACTACATATTCAGCTTCTGCAGGTGAGAGGGCCACTGAGTTTTGTTTTCTTGTACCCCATGAAATCAGACATGAACCCAGAAAATGTGCCATGCCAGAAGTGCTTTTCCTGTCCACTAGATACCCAGCGTAGTCAACATCCGCATACCCAATTAAATCAAAATTGTCTCCTAAGGGATAGTAGAGAACCAAGTCCTGTGTCCCTTTGAGATATCTCAGGATTCTTTTGGCTGCCTTTAGATGAGATTCCTTTGGATTAGATTGAAACCTGACACAAAGACCCACACTAAAAACAATATCTGGTTTGCTTGCTGTGAGATACAGGAATGACCCTATGATACCTCTAGGGGAGTTCATGGTTCGGCTTGGGTCAGTTTTTCCCTAAAAGGAAACCAAAACAAGTAAGTCGATTTTTCAAATATTGGAACCAAACTAAACCAATTAAGTCGGCTTATATCGATTCGGTTTTTGTCGATTTTTGCGGTTATTTATCAGTTTTTTCCTTAAATATGAGACATACACTACCAAACACATATTCCAGCGACTATATTTTCAACATAACACTATCAAATCAATTGATCTTTGAGAAATCTATCATTTACCAAGATATATAGATGATAATTGAATTAAATAGTGATGAATAATTTAAAGTACTCAATTAAACTTGTATTAGGCAAAAAAAACTACCAATCAAACTAGAATGTAAAGGTAAAAAATAAGATTATTATAATAGCAAAGAACAAGACTAAAAATACAAATGACTAATATCTACTATAAAATTTTAGAAACTTTATACAAAAATACACATATATATAGGTGTAATAATAAATTTAAATAGCTACTTTTATAGTCGGTTTGGTTCGGTTTTTTTTGTTTTTTTTATTAAAATCAAAACCAAACCAAATTTTATCGGTTTTTAAAATTCAAAACCAAAACCAAACCAAACCTAAAAAGTATCATTTTTTTGGTCGATTTGGTTCGGTTTTCGGTTTGGTTCGATTTTTTGGGTTTTTATGAACACCCTTAGATACCTCTATACATGGTCTCATTCATAGAGGAACCAGGTTCATCCATGTCCAGACGAGTGGCTATGGCAATGGGAGTATTAATGATTTTTGATCTTTCCATGTCAAATCTCTTGAGCAACTCCTTGATGTACTTCTGTTGAATTATCATTGTCCCCTTGGGAGTCTGATACTTGTAATCCCAAGAAAAAGTTCAGTTCCCCCATCATACTCATTTCAAACTCTCTCCTAATGAGTTTTGCAAATTCCTCACACAGAGAATCGTTTGTTGCTCCAAAAATGATGTCATCAACGTAGATCTGCACAATGAGCAGGTTCTTTTCTCCTTTTTTTCAGAAAGAGAGTGTTGTCAATTTTTCCTCTTGTAAAACCATTTTCTAGAAGAAATTTTGACAATCTTTCATACCAAGCACAAGTAGCCTGCTTTAGCCCATACAGAGCCTTGTCAAGTTTAAAGACGTGCGTAGGATGTTTATGATTCTCAAATCCAGGTGGTTGCTTGACGAAGACCTCTTCCTTTGGAAAACCATTTAGAAATGCAGTTTTGACATCCATTTGGAACAATTTGAATTCCATATGAGATGCAAAGGCAATGAGAATTCTGATAGCCTTCATTCGAGCAACTGGAGCAAACGTTCATAGTCAATCCCTTCTTCTTGATTGTAACCTTGAACTACTAGCCTTGCGTTGTTCCTTGTTGTATTTCCAACCTCATCAAGTTTGTTTCTGAATACAAATCTGGTTCCTATAACAGTTCGGTCAACAGGTCGTAGAACCAGGTGCCACCCACTGTTCCTCTCAAATTGATGGAGCTCTTCTTGCATAGCTGTAATCCAGTCTACATCTTTCAATGCTTCCTTGATATTTTTGGGGTCTATTTGAGAGAGACAGGCTGAGAAGGCAAGTGAGTTTGTTGTCTTTTATCTGGTTTGAATTCCTGAATCAAGATGAGTGATTATGTTTTCAAGAGGGTGTGAACTTTTGTGCTTCCAGTTAGACACTTGAGTCTCATGTTAGAGGATCCAGGTATTTCAGACTGTGAACCTTGGCTTCTTCTTATCTTAGCGTGTGGGGTGCCTTGGACAGCATCGACAACTCTGTTCTCAGCTTCAATTGTTGTGATTGAGGGACCAGGTTCATCTTCATCAATTGGAGATATGGTTGCACCGTCCTCATTTGATTCCTCAACGTGGCTCATCATATCAGTCTTTCCATTTGCCATGTCAATGACTTCACTAGGGACAATTGACTGTTCTCCGTCTTGATCATTTTTATCATTCAGATACTTTCCACATGGGTCATGAGATTCATTGAAGATCACATGTATGCTTTCCTCAACACATTGAGTTCTTTTGTTATATACTTTGTAGGCTTTGCTTTGTGATGAATAGCCTAGAAAGATTCCCTCATCGCTTTTGGCATCGAATTTTCTAAGTGTTTCCTTGCCATTGCTGAAGAAAAGCATTTACAGCCAAATGTTCTTAAATATGTCAACTTGGTCTTCCTTCCATTCAGCAGTTCATATGGCGTTTTGTTTAGAAGGGACCTGATCATGCACCTGTTCACCAAGTAGCATGCAGTGTTGACCGCTTTTGCCCAGAAACCCTTTGCAATGCCACTGCCAATCAATATTGTTCTTGCCATGTCTTCAAGAGTCCTGTACTTCCTCTCCACAACACCATTTTGTTGAGGTGTTCTTGGAGCTAAAAAATTATTAGTGATGCCATTTTCAACACAGAATTCGTCGAATTTGGCATTATCAAATCCTGTCCCATGGTCAGACCTGATGTATACTACATTATGGCTCGTCTTCACCTGGATCTTCTTCACAAATTCTACATACACTTGAAAGGTTTCATCCTTGGTTCTGAGAAACAAGGTCCAAATAAATCTGGAATAGTCATCCAGTATAACAAATATGGACTTCTTTCCTCCTCTACTTGGCACCCTCATAGGTCCATATAGATCCATATGTAGGAGATCAAGTGGCCTTAAGGTACTAACTTCCTTTTTGAGCTTGAAAGAGGATCTGACTTGCTTTCCTTTTATACATGCATCACACACCCTGTGATCCTTGAATCTTGACTTGGGCAGACCATGAACCAGGTCCTTCTTGACCAATTTGTTCAGCAACGTGAAACTTACATGATCCAGCCTTCTGTGTCATAGCTCAGCATTATTATTAACAGCACTCAGACAGCTAAGGTCCCCATTTTGCAAGGACTCAAAGTCATCAACATAGATATTTTTGTATCTTTTGGCCACTAACACCACTTCACCAGTCACAAAATTTGTGACTGTGCATATCTTGGATACAAATTCCACTTTGTTTCCCTTGTCACAGATTTGGGAAACACTCAAGAAGCTGTACTTCAACCCGTTCACGCAGTACACATTTTCAATAGAGTGATAAAGAGACTTCCCGATCCTTCCAACTCCCAGAATGTATCCCTTCTTGCCACTTCCAAAGGATACACTCCCTCCCTACAGGGCCTTCAATGAAAGGAAATTATTTGTACTTCCAGTCATGTGCTTCGAGCAGCCGCTATCCATGTACCATTGTTGGCTTCTCCCTTTCACTGTTCCTTGCACAAGGAAATCAAAAGTTAGACTTAGGAACCCAAACAAGTTTGGGTCCCTTGTAATGAGGAAAGGGGTGAATGAGGGCTCTTTTGGTCCAAGCAGGCATCACACGATTTTTATATGAAGGACCAGGTTCCCTAGCAGTAGTTACTTTTTCAGCAAAAACTTTGTTTTCTGTTGAGATTGAAATCTGGCCTTATAGGTTTCCTTGAAGTGCCCAGTGTTACCACAGTGAGTGCAGAGCTAGTTATCAGGTACAGTAACGTACTTGCTAGTTGTAGGGAGTCTTTTCTCTTTGAAACCCGATTCCTAACATGTTTCCCCTACTGTTTGTATACATAGCAGTGATTGCATCAGAGGACCAGGTCCACTTAAGTGATTTTTCTAGGTTACTCTTCACTGTCCCTAGGTCTTCCTGAAGTTGTCTGTTTTTCTCAAGCTCTGCACACAGACTAGATTTCACTAATTTTAACTCATCTTCAAACCTAAGGAGTGCTTCACTTACAACTTCCTTTCCTTTTCGAGTGTGCCCAGGCCTACTTTCCCTTTTTAGTTCCTCAATTATTTCCTTTAGGTCTACAACCACCACCAATAGGTCATCTCTCTCATGCTCAATATTAGCAACCCCCTCAGCTAAAACTTCTTTCTCCTTTTTAGCAAACTCAATGGTCTCTTTTAGATCAACCACAACAACCACTAGATCATCTCTGTCATGTTCTATGTTTGTAATTTTTTCAGTTAAGGCATCTTTTTCTTTCTTCTGACTCTCAATCGTTTCCTTTAAGTCTACCACCACAACTACTAGATCATCTCTCGACTGTTTTGCTTTTCCCAGTTCCACAGTTAATGCATCTTTATCATTTATAAGACTATGATAAGCATCAATTAAAATATTTGCCAAAGACATAAGTTTTTTCGGAGAATAAGACTTTAGATTTCTTTGAACATCTAAGAAGTTTACCTCATCATCATCATCGTCATCTTTATCATTGTCAGGTTTTGCCATAAGGGCAAAGATTGAGTCATACTCAGCTGCTTCACTTTCCACTGCCATCATGGAGCTATCACCTTGATCATCTTCTTCAGATTCGCTGGAAGAGTCTCCCCATGCAGCAAGAGCTTGTTTCACAGCATTGTCAGCGACATTTTTCTCTTAAGTCATTTGTCAGGAACCTGGTTCCTCTTAGCTGCTTTGTTAGTGTTGTGTTTGTACTGATCTTGATTGAGAAGAGGGCAATCCTTGATGAAGTGTCCTGGCTTGTCGCACTTATGACATAGGTCATAACCTTTTGGCTTGCTGGAGCTGCCCCTTTTTGGAATGCCTCCATTTCTGCGAACCATTTTTTGAACCTTTTTGTCAGGTAGGCCATATCAGCATCCTCACCACCTGAGTCATTGTTGTCCGTCTTGAGGACCAGTTTCTTCTCCCTTTTGGGCTCTATTCTCTCATTATCCTTCTTCTTCTTCATTTTATAAGTCTTGAGATTGCCAACAAGTTCATCAATGGTCAGCTCCTGAAGATCCTTTGCCTCTGTGATGGCATTTACTTTGCTTTCCCAGGAACCAGGTAATACACTAAGTATCTTCCTGACAAGTTTGTTCTTGGGGATGATCTCTCCCAATGAGTGAAGCTCAGTAATGATAGATGTGAAGCGAGTGTGCATATCCTGAATGGACTCATCGTCCTTCATTCTGAAAATCTCATACTCTTGTGGTTCAGCATGTCAACCTTGGACTGCTTTACCTGTGTTGTCCTTCATGAGCTGTTTGGAGAGCTTCCCATATCTCCTTAGCAGATTGGCATGCTGAAATCATGTTGTACTCATCTGGTCCAATACCACAGACGAGGATTTTCTTAAATCGAAAGTTCTTTTCGATAGCCTTGCGGTCAGCATCATTATATTCCTTTCTTGTTTTAGGAACTGTCACTGCGGGGGCTCCAATGGTCTTCGTAGGAACGAAGGGTCCATCGCAGATGATATCCCAAAGCTCTGAGTCTTTAGCCATGATGAAGTCATGCATCCTTGTCTTCCACCATCCATAGTACTGGTCGTTGAATCTTGGTGGTCTGTAGGTAGACTTTACTTCTTCAATGTTTGGCGGAGCAACCATAAGGATCCTTTCTAGGTGTTAGCCTAATAGAAAGAACCTGCTCTGATACCAATTGATAGAAATTAAGGGTCCACCAAACTATATAGAGAACCAGGTTCTCTATTACTTCCCACAGAACACACGCAGACTGCAGTAAGTAAATGACACAATGGAGTTTTACGTGGAAAACTCCCTACTCACGGGATCAAAAACCACGACCTACCCTTGTAGGATTTCAACTTTACTACTGAGCAAACTTTATATTACAAACTATTGTAACCTAGGAATTAACCTCTTAATCCCTCACTAACTTGTAACAACAATATTACAAACCACTTTGTAATAACTCTATTACAAAGACTTTACAACTCGACTAACTCTAGCAAAGACACAACACAAGGGTTTATGATTTACAAAGATTTCATACACAATGCTTCTAACTAAGCTAAGTAGGAATTACGAGTGTTTTAACAAAGGTACAACACAACTAAGGACATGTAATAACTCGATACAGGGAACTAGTCCGTTGTTATGTTGTTCTTTGTTCTTGATGCCCTTAAGAGTGACTTGCAAGGTTGATGGATGACTTGAGAAAATGCTTGATCAAGTCTTGAATGTGAAAGTATTTTGTTTTACCTTTGCTTGATGTTAATAATTCATTTGTGACATCTTTTGAATAATGCAAGCAAGTTAGGTAAAGGGCATTCCCCATAAAGTTGACTGTTGCACTGTTTTCGCACTGTTGCGTGTGCAGGCAACAACTTTACAGCTGGGGGAGTTGACTTTTACAGTCACCGTGGGAACTGGTAGCTATTTTTGTTCCCTCTACTGTTCCTTTGACTCTGAAGAGTTGAATTGTGTCCCCAACTGGAGACTTGTTGATCTTTAAGTTTTTAAGAATGTGTATCAGGTTCCTTATCTGGTTTTTAATAGTAAATTTGTTAGATCATCAAAACATAACAGGGATACACATATAACCTATCAGAGAGCATATCCTTAGCAAACATTCTCGTATATTTGTATCGACATCACTTTTCGTGTGCTAATTCGATTTGTTAGGACCGAAAAAATCAGGTGCCATGCGGAAACTAGTAAAGCAAACCTTGATCGACGATAAGTCAGACAACAAAAGAGACACAAACATTTAACGTGGTTCGGTCAATTGATCTACGTCCACCGCGGAGCTGAGCAATCCACTATATAAAAAGAGAGTACAAAATATCGAGAGAACAACCTCACGAAGAGGCAAACACAAGTGACGCACTAACACTTGTCCCGTAAAGTTCTCCCCCTAAACATGACTCTCAAATCCCATATGGCTACATTGTGGATGCTACTGAATGAGAAGGACGTATCTTCAATTTATAGAACTCCAAACCTTTTCCTACAAGAAAAGAGACTAGCCAAATATGGAAGAATTATATTTTCCTTCTAGGAAAAGAAAAATCCAACTATGGTAAATATGTTGTCCTTTCCTTCATGAGATAGGAAAATCAATTATGGTAAGAAAATCTGGACAAACACTTAACACGATTAACAACGGGCAGAATGTGCTCTTAAACATGAATTGACGTTGCATGAACCAGTGAAGTGTGTTCTTGTTGAATTTGCTCTATGCGGAATGGTGCAATTTTTTTTTCGCTGATATGTCCAGGCCAATGGTGCAGACACTTATTACACTATACCAATTTCAAGTCAATGCCATCAAAATGTTGTTACATGACAGGCTAGTTCGTAACTCTGATTATCTTGAATTAAAAGACGAAGTAGAACATCTTATGCGGGTTGGAGAAACAGAGCGATCTATTGCTTGCACTTGTTCTGAATAAGAATTTTAACTTTTACGACCTGCTAACAGTTAAAATAACTTTTTATATATCAATATAATTTTACCTGTTTGCCTTGTATATCTTGTTTTCCTTTACATCGTAAGTGTATATTTTTCGCTGGCTTTCTCTTTTCTCTTTAATGAATTGTTGTTTACCAAGATCCGTAAATGAAACTGAATCAGTTTTCCGACATCGTTTCATGAAAAGCATTCTTCATATGTTTAATTTAAAGGATTTATATATACGTTAGACTGATATTGCTTGGAAAAAATACCAAGTAAATAACATTTTAGGACAGAAAGTAAAGCCACAAGAACAACATAATTGATGCTAGATCCGAACCCATTTACAAGCTGAATTGTAACAATAGATGGCTAGTGTTTGCGCGAAATTCTGGGTACGCCACACCACTTTAAACCGTCAAGCACATTTAAAGCCTTTAGGCACTTTCTTTCCACAAGAATTAAGAACCAAACTGATGGCAATAGGAATTTTTAGGTTAAGGGCTCCCAAAGCATTGACCTTAATGGCAGTGCATAAACACAAAGCAGCTTCAACATCTGCTATCCCTTCGAAAAGAGCACAACATTGACTACTTGGTTTTGCCCCAATTACCTCATGAATCAGCCCTAGCCAATCTCCACAGACACCAAATTTTAGTGTGTCTTTGGGACACTTAGCTGGGGCTTTTGTTGGGGATGGAGTCACTGGCTTACTCTTTGGAGTTGGAGGGCATGGTACATTGTGAGATGAAACACAAGTGAAAAACACTATTACATTCAGCAAAATAAAAACAGAAAATGCCTTAGAACCAATCATTTTTGAGTAACTAGCTTAGCTTGTACAAATATTTTGAAGAAATACTTATGTACCAGGTTTAGGTTCACTTGGGAATTTATAGAATTCAACTTGTAGGATAGGCCATACTAACTAGTGGTCAGTTCTGGTTCTATGGATATTTTTATGAATTGAAGATAAGGAATGAATTGGAAGTGAATGAAATTCACAATATTAGGTTGTTTGGTCATTTTTGGCTAACCATAGCCATGTGAATGTAGGGTTATAACTAGTTCCACCCCACCCCCCCTCTCCAGCTCCATTAAACAACCACCTTTCTTTGGAATTTTCTCTCAATTTGACTTGTTAGTTTGTGGATGACAGTGAAATCATTTGTACTTCACATGATAGAAATTTAGTCGTTAGCTAGTGCTACAATTGTGTGTTCTCTAAAGTGATTCAACGTAGAGAAGTTCTGTTGGCGAAAATTATCGAGAATTAGTGAATGCTATTACGCTACAAGCTAGAGTAAAGTTTATAAATCATCTTGTGTTTAGATTCCAATATCTATATCTTGCCCCATATCTTCAATTCCTCTGCCTCGTTCATTTGGAATTGGTTAATAAGAAGGCAAAAGTATTTGAGTAATAGCTGGGGATGTTATCTTATATGTATCTTACAGGTGTAAGGTTCGATTCTTGCCGGATCCTTCCCTTTACTTTTCTACTAACTCATCAAACTTATCTAACCCTTAGAGAAAAAAAAAAAAAGGGAATAAGTATAGAGGTAGATCTATCCCGGGTTGGGGTGCCCTAGCACTCGCCATCTCGCAAAATATTGCGCACGTGCATTTAGAAATGCAGTTAAGACCATAGTTATAGTAATTAAATGGCACATGCATTCTGAATGTTTTTGTTGCTATACTGGTTGAACGAAGCCTGTTAATGCTCTACAATCCCTGTATCCTGGGTTCGAATCCTGTAGTTTTCTTTGATCCTTATCTTATTTTTCATCTGTAATTTGATATTGTTATAAGGATTACATTGCTCCTATGACCTCAAAATGATTATTGTTTATCAACTTGCCATTGTGTCATTTCTCTAATATTTAGTACTTCCTAATGTTCTATACTAACATACATTATAGATTTTAATTTCTAAATTACTAATGGCTATATATTAATTACTGTTGCTAATGCTTATTTTTGGTTTTCGAATGTTGTCTGGACACATGAATAAAATAAACTAATGCTTACAAATCCACCGGCCACAAAGTAGGAATAAATAAATTAGTTTTAAGGCAGAATAGCCTGGGAGACATTTGTACTAGTTTCGGATTGTCAACTCAGTCCCTATATTCCATAAAGTTTTATCCAAACACCTCAACATTATCAAAATAAGACTTTTAAACCCTTCTAACCGTTGACCGAGCTTATGTGGCATTGATATGGCTGAAGTGGACAAAACGAGTGATTTACACACACATTCAATGCGTGAGTTGATGCTTTTTCTTTATTAAAAAAAATAATATCAATAAATAAAAGAAATACTAGCATAGTACCCCTCCCCTTCGTTCCCCTCCACCCTTCTCTGTTCTTCCTCATATCTCCCCTCCCCATTCGTTCTGCCCCCCCCCCCTCCCCCTCCCCCCTATCTTCTTCTTCTTCTTCAGATCCCCTCCCTTTCCCTTTTTCTTCATCTTTCTTCGTCCTTTCTTCCATTATATTTTTTTCTTGGTGTGTATTTCTTCTTCCATCATGTCATTTTCCCCTTCTCTGTGGCTCCTCCATTTTTTTTCGGTGGTCTAAGCTGTCAAATTTTTTCACCGCCCTTCCAAATTGGAGTAGAGGAATAAGTCAAAATCCAAAAAAATTAATTATCTGCTCATGTATTTTTCAAGAGGATTTTTCATGGATAGATAACTTTCTTTAAAGAGGGGTGAAAATTATAAGAAAAAAGAATTGATATTGGAGGTGATGGTACTCATGGTGGAGGAGCCATGGCAGGTGGCGTTATTCTTTTAAGAAGGATGAGTGGGTGGGTTTGAAGAAGGGAGGAAGGGTTTTTCTTCAATTTTAATTTTTTGCTTTTCTTTTTTTATTTTTTATTTATGAAATTAAAATTTTGTTAAATAATATTATTTTGGCATAGAATCTGAAGCGGATGTTGATTTGTCATCCACATCAAGCAAGTGAGCATCACACGAATCCGAAGAGGTTTAAAAGTCTTATTTTGATTAAGTTAAGGTGTTTGGATGAAACTTTATGGAGTATAGGGACCAAGATGACAAACCGGAACAAGTACAACTAATTTTAAAAAAGCAAAAAAATAAAATTCGGCAAAAATTGATTTAAACTTTTCAACTCAACCTCATTATCACGGTGGCTTCAGCCCCTTTCTTATCCTATTAAGTTAG